CATCCCAAACTCCCTCAAATATACTGGTATAAAACCTTGCATGGAAATCCAATATGCTAAAAATAACATTTGACATTCATTGAGACCGTCCACTGCAAACTGGGAAACAAGGTCATCTGATAAGGATGGAGAATAAGAAACATCATGTAACCAATTACCAAGGCGCATTAATCGTGGTGGCTAAATCAACAGTTTTAAACAATAACAATATACACTGCAATAAATAATGAACATGTCTTGAAGCAAGTTATGACTCCAAACTGAGTCTTTTTTTAGGCTCCTCTAAAAAAAGGAGCCTAACAGCCTAAGCCTGTTCTCACCCATTCTAACCTCCTGTAGTGCTAGCGATAGCTTGTAAGCTGGAACAATAAGTAACACCTGGGTTAACTACATGTTATTTTTGATATCTGTCCTCCTCTACAGCAGTGATATAGCTAACATGTTTGTCAGCATCTCTACTAAGAAAACAATAGATATTTATTTCTGGCTGTCAGCTTAAAATTACGGTTATGCTAACTTCAGCTAGCACAAAGGAAACAGGGCTGCTATTTCTCACGCCAAGAGCACAAAGTTACTCACCCACTGAACATAGTGGCAAATACACTTTCAAACAACAGGTTAAACATTCAGGGAATGTAGATAATAGTACATGATGGATTTTTCAATGAGATAATATCTTTAATTATCCCACTGAACACCTACCTTATCATCTTTGTAGCAACTTAGCTGAATATTAAGCTAGCTATTGTTGTAGTGCTCCATCTTTATATCTATTTATATGACTGCCTATTGAGAGACAAAGGTTTGCTTAGCATATTTTAGTCAAATCAGAAATATTAATATTAGTGAAACAGAATTTGGGGAAAAACAGCAAAGAGGAAGAGAAGATCAGCAGCAGAAATAGAATCATGCAGAGCAGTGTGGACACCTTCCAGCATTTCCCCTACACAGAAATGTGACTATTAATTCAATAAAAGCCCCAAAGAGCCTCTTTCAGAAAGATTTTCCATTCTCTGCACTCACACTGGGGAGAGATTTTCAGACCAAACAAACTAGAGTGTTTTGTGTGACTTTGTGGCTTTCTGCATAAATATTTAAGCACGTGGAGGAGACACAAGGAAGAGGTGGGGCTTTACGTAAAAAGTCTCTGAGGTTAATAATGGATGAGGCCACGCCTGCGATGAAGGCATGTTCACTGACACACTGTTCGCCGGATTAGTCTCGGCGCTGTTACAGTAATTGCAGAATGTAATGGACTCTCCCCGTGAAATAGGTCAACTAGGTAAATCCAGGTGAAAGCTATCAGTGTATTATGCTGGCATCAATCCCATCAATCCCATGGTATCCCTGTCAAACACGCTCAGTCATTACACTCGGGTGTTTGTATGCAGAATTGGGTCAGCGATTGGAAAAGTGGGGCTGTTTGTCAACATCCAAAATCTGGTGAACGAACTTGTTTTTAGCAGAACTGTACCAAACCGTGGAGTTCATGAGCCTTGGATATTCACCCTACATGTTAAATCAATCAAGAAACTATGTTGCCTTCAGTTGCTATAGAAATGCTGCACATATAAAACATGTCTTAAAAGAAACTTGACTTTACAATTTGACGTCTCGAAATTGGCATCCGTCTCTTTAAGGAGCTCCTGCTCTTTCTGACACTCATTGTTTTATCACTACTGCAGAGTAATCTTTATTTGTTCACAATTAACAAATAAAGATAGTCTAAGTGTCCCCACAAAGTTTTGTCGATGCAAATAAACTCACAATAAACTTTGTGGAGCGAGTAAACCACAGTTCTGGCGCTTCGTGCCTTGTGTGGGTGTCAGCAGTAGTTGTTCAGTCTCCCAGAGCTACAGGCGCCTTTTGCAGGTCAAAAGGACAAGAAGCTTATGATTTCCATTTTAACTACTTCCATCAGCATGTACAGATCAAATGTCAATCCCACAGCACAGAAAGCTGAAGCAGAAGACGGCATTCTCCAAATATCACCAAGACTGATAATATGTTTGTCCTCCATTTACAGTAACGCTGTGAGCCATGGACATGCATTTTATCAGAAGCAATATGGAGAAGTAAGGATCTGTTTTTGATTGATTGTAATTCAAACTGAGTGGTTTAACCGATCCAAAACATTACAAAAAAGCCAGTGGATCAACTTTTTCTGTTATCCTATTAAACGTTCTAGGAGAAAAAAAACAATTTAAGCTTCAAAACAGCTGAGATTGAACTAAAGGTTCAGCTTCCAGTTGACAATTACCTACAAAAATGCAGACAAAGCTACAACAGACTTATTTAGACCGCAGCATATTCATGCATTAGAATGGCCTATTCAAAGTCAGACCTGGATCTAATTGTATAAACATGAAAACTAATGTTTAAAGTCACCTGTCATTCAGTCTGATTGAATTTTGCAACAACAAAAAGGGAACAAAAACTACAAAATGCTCTAAATGTATAAAGCTGGTAGAAACAGAGAAACAATGAGGACTTTTAAAGGTTCTGAATTAAGTAGAGAAGAAATCCAGATAATATGGCATGTTATTGGCCTCAGAGATGGCAATAAATTCACCCCAACGTGTTCAGGATATTTGTGATCACATTTAATGCGACTTGCAGAAAAAAGGGTAAGAGATAGTGAGCGCAGAGAGCAGGATGACCTGACCTGACCTGACCTGACCTGACCTGACCTGCGTTTATGGTGATGACACAGAAGTTGGCAAATTCTGCTGATATGTCAACACTGATGGCCTCGGCAGCTTTACTGCTGGGTCGTAAAGCCCTCCTGTCTTTGAGAAGAAGAAAAAAACACAATCAAATAAAGTCACATTTCATCATTTATGGTTTGGCGGGGGTTAAGGGATGCAATTTTTTCGATTGTGCTGCAGGTGGGTTGATTTTGTGTAGGAATGCACATATTTCACAAGCAGTAATAAACAGATTTGTTGAACTCAAGCCATCCTCATCTAAATGGCAGGTGTTTGTGCTTTTTCTCTCTCTCTCTCTATTTACAAGGTCGTTAAAAGCTGAACTGAAATGATTTGTTCTGAAATTCAGCAGCTTCTTGAAACAAGTTTAAAATAAATCTCTCTTCATTCACTGGCATGTCTTTCACACAGTTTTCCTGCTTGTACTCTAAACATTTATAATTAATTTTTTAAATAGTCCTTTGTGTTTGCTTCTTTTAAAAAAAAAGCCGTTTCACATACTGGTATGGTTTGATTTCTGAAGCGCGTGCTTTCTTTTTCAAATGTGACATTTCAACTTAAATACTTCTGTCAGATTAAATCACTTCTGTGATCTGGTCATTCCCCAGATTCTCAATTGGATTATGGTCTGAACTTTGACTTGACCGTTCTAATCTGTGACTCTGCTTTCTGTTGGCGGTTTGTTGACCTCCTGTAAACCCCACCCACTTTTCTAGGTCTTTCTATGCAGCTCCTCCAAAGTCAACATGACTGCTTCACGGAACAGATTTAGCTAAACTGATTCTGAACGACACTCCGGTGGATTCTGTGTAATACTTGGGTAATATCTGAAGGTTACGCTCTAAAATTTCCTGTCTTTTTTCAACTAATTCATAATTACAGGAGAAAATGCTAATAAAATATACTGAAAGTTGTGGCTGCAGCCAAACAAAATGTGAAAAAGTTCAGTGGGTGCGGCAAATTTCACATAAAGAACTATAAAACCAAAGGAGGAAACGCTTTAAAACTAGGAATGCACCGATGTGAGAATTTGGGCCAATATCAATAGCCGATATTTTATGTTGCTGTTTTGGCTGATATTTTTATACATTTCTTTTAAACCTGCCTTTCGACACCTTGGAAGGAAAAAAAAATATTCTGTTGACTTTACCACTGCATTTATAATTCATTCAAACTTCCCAAACAAAAACCACATGACCACCGTCACGCCTCCAGAAACGAATAGCAACAAGATGGAAATAAATATTGATTAATATCAACCTGGTTTTATTTACATCGGGTGATACCGATGTCAGTGACGATATATCATGTATCCCTATTTAAAACTGTGACATTACCCACCAAGGAGGACAAACTCAAGCAGCATATTATTTTCCATGTATCAAAAGTTATTTTTCCTCACTGAGGAAAAATAAAGTTGTATTTAGCAACTTTTCAGAGACAAAAAAAAAGAATCGGTAGCAAAGAGTGGAATTGTCAGGTCAGATCGGTGCACCAAAAAATCTATACAATTATACCTTTAAAATAAACACTTCAAGGAAAAAAATACTCTGACTTCTAATTTCTCTAAGTTTCAGTTTATTGTACAATCAAGTAGGTTCACAAATAATGGTCCATTGCACTGGATCATCATAACTGGCATCAACATGAGACAATCACAATGCTATTGTCACTCAGAGGGGTGATATTAATCAGGCTATTCACACACACACACACACACACACACATATGCACGCGCACACATACACCTCAGCAAGGAGAAAAAGTGAATCAGGTTTAGTGTTTGTTTGGCTCAGGAGACTCTGAGGCCTTAGTCGTAAGAAAAACAACAGCGGTCTTTAAAAAGATGCCTTTCAAGTTGCATTAAAATATGTACACATAAAAATTTTTTACAAAATTTATTGAAAGTAGTGCCGTTGTAGAGAGAAAGACACATGTGAAACGTTTTGGACGACGTGGACGGGAAAATCGTTTAAATAAATGCCACACGAAACTAATGAGGAAAATGGCAATATAAGGTTTTTAAGAGGCGGAAAAAATGTGTGTCCAGCACACACCATTGTGGAAATCAGTCATTTACTCACGTGCACCCTGAAGAAAAAAGAAGGAAGAAGGACTTTGGAGACCCTGGCTGGCTGTGTTTCTTTTTTTGTTTTTTTGTTTTTTTTTAATTACTTGAACATGCAAGCTCAAAAGCATTCAAAATGACGTTCAAGAACAGAAGATGGCTTAAATGAAGGGTAAAAACAATAAAAAATGAACAGTGGTAAAAAAAAAAAGAGGGAAGGAAGCTTTTTTTTTTTTTATCTCTACCAGACCAAAGTGGCAGTCAAACTCTGAAAGGTGAAAGGTGAAATAACGGTATTTTATTCATGAACAAGTACTTCCTTTCTCTGCCACAGTGGCTGGTAGCTCGGACGAACTGATCTGCCGTGGGTGAAACGGAGCCAGCGTCTGGGCCGGCGTCGATTCCCAGCGTGGTGAGCGCGTCGGCGGGGCGGAGGGCACGGAGAGGGGACCGGCGCTAAGAGCACTTCCACACGCAGACAGCCAGGCTCCCACCGAAAAACATGTAGAGCAGGTTCTTCACTTCGTGTGTGACCTCGAAGCCGAAGCCCTCGCCAATCACCACGTGCCATGAGCTTCCAAACTTCTTATCCATGGACTCCTTTATCATCTTAGCCGCGCTCTAGAAGGGAAAAACAAAACAATTACATTTTTTTTCTGCTTTGTTACAGTTTTCTTTTCTTTATTTCATTCACTCAATAACAAATATGAATAGCTTGTGTAACAAAAAATAAATCATAAATTAAAAGGGGCAGAAAGAAGCATAAACTTTATGTTCTGCCTTTTCACATGAACATTACCCAACGAAGCAGCTTATTCAATGTCATAATTGCTTCATTGTAATGCTTTTCTCATTTATTGCAATAACTTCTGGGACAATTTGCCATCCAGAAAAATCTGTTATTGTGACACACCCATTTGTACATAAATATTAAAATATTGTGCTCCATCAATTCATGAAGTTTCATTAAGCTTAAATGTGTAAGTACTGGGTTTGTGTGATTTGAATGGCTAATACCAATATCAAAAACAAAAAAACAGTAACTTCTGGTCAACATCGGAATATCAAAGAACAGGAGAATGCACTCACTTCGTTATTGGTAGCAAATTTCTCACAGGCTGTTACACACAACTCCATGGTCTCAACCCTCATTTCCTCTGGCATGTCTGTGTGCTGGAGAGAAACACGACGTTACAGAGCTTTACAGGCTGGTGCAGGAAAGATGGCAAACCCTCATCTAGTTTCAATGTCAATTAAAATGTTGAATGACACCAACAACATAAAAAAGGGGGAAAAAATGTTTTCTTTTTTTACTATGGAAACATTTTTTCACCATGTTTCACCATATTTAAGCATCTTCACAGATAGTTTGGTGGAAGGAAAAAGTGCAGCTAAAAAAAGGTTCACATAAAACGGGGAATATTAGGCAGTGAAAGCTTCTGCGATCATAACGGAGGCTCAGATGTCTTTGCTGAACATTTCATGGTCGGTTTTTATTGAAGAAACAACGGCGACAGCTGTTTGTATCCTAGTAACTGGAAACAACAGGTGGGAAGATGGCAAAACCAGATCCTGTTGAGCGTTCTTCAAAATAAAATCCTTCCTTTTTCCAAAATAAAGTCACGTTTTGCACTTAAATATGTTTCAATTCACTGGTTCGTAATTATGTACAAACATGTCAAATTTAGCGAATGATAATATCATGTAAATTATCTTTAGCATATAACTGTAAAGTCAAAATAGGGAAGCCTTGAGAGGACTGCGAAGCAAAACCTATTCAAGATAATGCATTTTTGCATTAATGTTTAGTTTTTTATTGGTTTGATGTAATATACTAATGTTTAAAGTCATGTTTTCATTACCCTTAAGTGGAAAAATTGCCATAATTTCAGGCAATTTTTGAATACATGTGAATACTAATTCATATGTGTGTAATTGACCTATATGTAATGTTCCTGATATACATTTATATTTATTATATTAAATTCTGATGTCTAATTTATTGAATGGATCTGTCCAGGATGCTTTGCAGCCCAGAGTGAGGTCTTCACAGTTAGCTCTGGGCTGCAAAGCATCCTGTTGGAGATGCTTTGCAGAAAGATGTTTGTTTTTTTATTGCTCCTAAATTAAGTCAGTTTTAAACCAAAACACGTGGATCTTTTGGAGCTCGTTCATACAGCTTTGCAATGCCTTATTAACAAAAGTAAACATGCATGTATCGAATGTTATTTTTGACCGTGTTTAGGCAAAAATTAGCAGAAGTTTGTAGTGCTGTCTTACTCTGATGAGAGGGAAGCTGTGCAGTCTCTTGTAGTCGGCCTCTTCCTTCTTTCCCTCACCAGTCCCAGCCATTCCGACTCCTGAAATAACAGGTGTTCTGTCTTATTACAGAAATACTAATAATATAAGGAATATGGACTCACTGGGCAACACAGAAGTCAGAGAGAATTTAGAAGCTAACGATGCTAAAACATGAGCCGACAGGTTAGCTTGTAATACTGAGTCTCAACAAGCCAGTAACAATAAACATTACGCACTTGTTTACGGTCTATGGCTTTAACAATGCCAATACAACTGATAATTTGTAAAGCTGGACTGACCGTAACATGTCAATAACAGTAACTGAAGAAGGTTTCACTAGCTAGCTAATTAGCTTAGCTTGTATTTAGAGCAAACAGCTGATGGAGGGGGGTATTTTCTGCCTCTAACTCGTCAAGTTTAAACAAACTGGCTGCAGCATAAGGACTTAGGTCATGTTTTACGTAGAGTGTTGACGTAATGTGTGACTGAAAAGGTTTACGTACCAAACGTTTGTCTGAAGAAAACTTCTCCTGTTTGACTCGCATCGGTTGTTAAGGAGACATCTCAAACATGGTACAGGGAGCAAGCAGGAAACCCCGCCCGTTACAGCCAGGCGTGGTTCTGATTGGTTAAAACGCTGTCACTCAACGTAAAAGTCAACGTAATCAAACCCCGCCCCACTTTACAAGCAAAGCTCTCTTGCGGTTTTCCTCTTTTTCCGTCGTCCCCAAACTTGTAATAAAGTATATATATATATTTTTTAATGTAGTTATTTGAGATAAGTAGAATATATTGTTGTTAGAAAGAAAAAAAAATAAGAAGGAAAGGGGAAAAGGTGTATGCACACGTTCTTTATTTTTCGCCAGGCAATGACATGCAGCTTTTAATGAATCATACTAGCCAGTGGTCGATTTTCTACCGACAATAAAAACATAGCAATGTAATAAAAATTTTCCGCACAAGATTTCACAAAAATATTTAATACTAGTAGCCTTCCCAAAATTTAGAATGAATTGGTATGAATTTTGTGGCATATTATGAACACAGATTTTATTATTATTATTATTATTATTATTATTATTATTATTATTATTATTTAAAATTTAGTGGGGGAAACAAATATTATAGAAGTAATACAAAAGGATGAAACAAAGTAAGTGTGTTGTAGTCTGTATCGCTTTCAGTATCTCTTTTGCTTTCTCAGAGATACTGAAGAGTTGACGTGAGCGTTTATGCTTTTGTGTCTTGTCATGTAATAGTGTGGTACCATTAAAACTGCAATTATCCCAAACTAACACATCAGCCATGATTGATCAACATCACTTGTTCTGCCAGACGGGCCTGCAGGAGAACTGAGCCCAGGTGCAAGAGGGACAAGCCTCAGGTGTGATTTGACTTGTTGAAAGACAGATATTATAATTCATCAACAACAATAATGTTTTTCAAATATTATTTGTCAAAAGCTATGTGCTGTCCTCAACACTATAAACTGAAATCTGTAAGAATTTTCTTTGATGAACAAGTTTCCTTAAGCCAGTGGTTCCCAAACTTTTTCTTCCAACATCTACAAGGTACTTGTTAAGCTTAAGGTTCTGTATTGATATTAGCTAGTCATCTTTTAGCTAACATTAGCTAGTCATCTTTTAGCTAACATTACCTGCATCCAACAGCTTTACTCAACTCAGTCTGTTAGTTTGGGGGAAAACTGTGAAAACTTATTTGCGTTTTGCTGGTTTGCTGCCGTGATTCTAACACAAACCTACGTAGCTCCGCACAGTAGCAGGAGGTCTCCTTCACAGGTGTAAACCCAGCGCGAGCGTCGTAGCGCTCATGTTGTGTTTAAAGGCGGCTCGGAAAAACAGGTTACAACATGTTAACAACGGATTAAACAGTTTTAACTGCTGATAAAAGTGACAGAGGACACAAATATGGGAGGTGTGGAAGCCTCTACTGTATCAAACTGACAGGAATAACAGAGAGTTGGCCATTCTAAGGTAAAAACCCAGCGCATATAGTATTCATGTTTTATTTTTTTTCATCCAGACGGCTTCCCGTGCCCCCCCTGCAATGACACGGCGCCCCCCCCTAGGGGGCGCGCCCCACAGTTTGGGAACCTCTGCCTTAAGCACATCACTCATTTCACCTGCTTCATACAAATGCTCTGTTTGAGCCTCTTGCTCTGCTGCTTTGAACCGCTTTGAGCCTGTGTCTATCACAGTTCTGAAGGAGCTTATTGATCAAACAAAACCTTTAAATTTGCCTGGTGATATGATTCCGCCTCCCTACTATTCCCCTTTTTAAAGATATTTTTAAAACTAAAGGACCTCCTGATTGTTCTTAAAAGCAGTATTGCCACAGGTTTAGTCCCTGGAGCTTTAAAGCATGTTGTTGTCCTGCCTTTGATTTAGAAACGATCCTTGATCAATTTATTATTATTATTATTATTTTAGAACAATCTCTAAACTTTACTTCCATTTAGTAATACAGGGGACAAGGTAATTTTTTACATGATTAAATTAATTTCTAGAGGAAAACAAATCTGGTATTCTGAGGTGTTACTCTGGTTGTAAAAAGATTCACAAATGGGAATCTGCTCTTTTAAGAACTTTTAACGATATATAATTACCAACTAATACTGGTAATTATGTTGCTTTTAAACCTTTAGCTCAGATTCTTGTTGTGAGAGTTGCGTTGGTGTTAAAGGTACAGCCTTGGGTTGGACTGACAATTTTTACGTCCGCATGAGCGAGTTTTTGTTGTCTGCAGTGTCTTGTGACTGCGGGGAGCCTCAGGGCTGAATACTAAGACCCTTTCTTTTCTCTATATCTCCTGTCCTTTGATTCCATTTTCAGGACATTTGCTATTTAATTTCACTGCTATGCTTTCAATAAACATAATTCCCACTAAGTTTATCCTTTGTTGAATTGCCTAAGTGGTATAAAAGTGTGCAAGGTTCTGAATTTCTTGAGGTTCAATAATAATAATTAAAAAAGGAGGTAATATTTTTCTACTCAAGTGGCTCTTGTGACACCCACCATATGAATTGTGACTCTTTAACTCACTGCTTACGGTCTGAGGATGAAATTCAATTAAATTCAATACATAATTTGAGACATAGTTCGGTCTACAAATGACCAAAATCGAAACTGTTTTGTCCAGGTAGGATTTTGAAAAGATCGTCAATTTGCTACCTCACACCTTGGTCATTGTAACATGCTGATTTCTTGACAGAGTTTACCTAGATTTTCTTGAAAAGAAATGGCTTTTTTTTTTAAAATATTGATCTTATCACTCTAGTATTGATCCAATACCAATACTCAACGTGGTATTGGTAGTATCAATATTTAGATCAATACTCCCAGCCTTACTGGACACCATGTGGGGGAAATTAACACCGATTTAAGAGAAATCAATCCAAACATACCCAGAACAGAATGCCGGAAGAAACTAAGAAACTAAACACAACAGAGTGAAGCAATACAACAAAACCCAACAATAACTAAATACGGCAAGGTGTTTTCTATCAGTGATAAACTCTGGAGTACGTAACACAAAACAAAACCAAAACACAAACCCTGGTGTGACAAATGTGACATACCAGAACCCTGACAGTGAATGCGAATTCAATTAAATATATTTAGACTTACTCAATTTTTTGTCTCTTCAGCTCCAGAAGGAAATGCTATTTCTCTTACTTCCTCTTTCCAGCGTTGCTAATGAAACAGGCTGCTGTGAAGGTGCAGCCATTGCCTGGCTAATGGGTCGAGCTGGGCTCAGGAGAAGTCTTGCTGCCTGATTATCTTTTTCAGCAGTAGTGGTGAGTAATTAAGCAGTTTTGTAGATCACAACAGGACATTGTTGGGACTCGAAAGGCTTCGGAAAACTTGGCACACATTAACCACCGTAGGTCTTTTAGGATGACATGTGACCATTCCAGTTTTTGCAGTTTGCCTTCATAAACCAGTTCCACCAGTCTCATTCACTGTGTTCTCATGTACACCTCTGATGAATAGCATTATATATGGAAATCAGGAATCTCCATCAGCTGACTTCTGCTTTATATGACATCAACAAAGCCGTGTGTGTTTATAGTCAATACAACTTTTATTTGCAACACAAATACAAATACAGACTGTATGGTGTTGTGTTTTCAATGACAAACTATACCTAATGTGACACTGACGTCACAACAAATTTCATTTCGAGGTAAGACAAACTCACTGGTTCAAGTCCAATTTAAATTAGGTGATGGAGTCCACTGTCCCATTTTTATTGTGTATATTATATTTTGTGGCTCTGCAGCAACCTCTATGCACTTCCACAAATCCAGTGGCGAGGGAAATAAACGTTAAAAAGTAGATTGTTGTAAGGATTGTTTTTGAAAGGAAATATAAAAATATGCTGAGGTAAGGGAAGAATATACAAAGTACTCTTTCTACTTGAACTTTTCCACATGTTCTGACGCTAAAACAAACTTCAATATCGCCACCTTCCCAAAATAATGGCATTAAGCTAAAGCTATGTTTATAGTTGACGCGGTGAACCGGGCGCGGAGGGGCGCGCGCCACCTTCCACACAAACTGAACGATTTGGAAGGTGTCCCCAAGTACTGGTATAAACCTGCTATGAAGGGTATGGCTTATATTTTGAGAATATGACTTCTTACGGCTCGCATGCCATCAACGCGAACTTTCAAAAGTGGGACTAAAACTTAGTCTTATGTAATTTTTGCCAAAAGTGATTCCTTCCCTTCCCCGTCTCCCGTAAAACGTCTTTTTAAAAATAAAAAATAAAAAGACTTGGTGGGGTTTTTTTTGTGCAATAATCACTTTAAGCAAAAAGAAAAACAAAATTATTGATTATTGTCTTATGAAAAAAAATTTATTGTATTCAGGCCCCTTTACTCTGGTACCCCTCACTAAGAATATTCCAAAACATACCAGGAAGTCCAACAGAGAAGGGCTGGACTGCAATCTTGGGTGAGTCAAAGCCCAGATTAATGAGATTCTGACCACAGTCAGAGACTGGTAGATGGCTGTAAGAAGTGTCTCACTGAAGTTGTTTCCATAGTTATAACAGCAGCTCTACAGCAGGTTTTACAGCAGTGAGGTAAGGTGTTCACTGGCACTAAAATCCATCTGTTACCTTCGTAATCTGAAGGAAGCTTCAACTCCTCATGCCCCATTCAAATGCCGCAGGCAATATGAAAGAAAACTCAGTGATGAATATTTGCAGCAGAAATGAATATTTGAGCTCCTTCAGCTGGGTGAGGCGACAAGCATATTTTTTTAAAATCATGAATCACCTCCCTCGGAGAAGTAATGAAGGTGGGCCGTATCCATAATTCAGCAGCAGAGGAAGCAGATTGTTGGGGAGGGGGAGAGGAAGACCCCATGTGACTCTGCTAGCGAGCTGTCACAAAGGCGATATAAACAGAAAGACGGAGCCAAGAATATCAACCAGGCTGTGAAGAAAATAAAATCTGCACTGACTGATTATCTAACCGAGTGACTGGCTGATGACTGTAGGTGACTAACTCATTTTTTTGTCTTCTGAATTAGACGCTTCTACTTCACACTTAAAGCTGCCGCACGTAGCTTTTATGCAAAATA